GTTCAAGCAGTCCTCCTGCCTTGACCTCCCAAAGTGCAGGTATTGAGTCACCTGTGCCCGGCCGAAGATACAGTTTTAAAGTGTTGCAAAAATGTTGTCCAAAACTAACATTATAGAGGTATTTGATAGCTTTAAGTGTGGTGTGTGATACAAAATACTGAGAGAAGTTATAATTATAATTATAATAATTATGATTGTTATCTGAGACGGAGTCTCACTCTGTCACCCAGACTGGAGTGGGGTGGTACAATCATGGCTCACTTCAGCCTTGACCTCATGGGCTCAAGCAATCCTCCTGCCTCAGCATCCCAAGTAGCTGGGACTACAGGTGTGTGCCACCACACCCGGCTACTTCTTTTATTTGTTGTAGAGACAGCGTCTCACTATGTTGCCCAGGCTGCCCTTGAACTCCTGAGCTCAAGCAATCCTCCTACCCTGGCCTCCCAAAATGCTGGAATTATAGGCATGAGCCACCACACCCAGCAATGAGAGAAATTATGAAATTGAATCGCGGCTTTCTGAGCAGTTTGAAGTGAAGATGGGAATCAGCACATTGTGGTCCAAACATCCCTCCCACCATCACCTGTCTTATCTGTAATAGACATTGTTAGGTTTCCTAACCTAACCATTGTTCATTCCTAACAATGATTGAAGCAGGTATGGTGAACAAAGGACTGCTCTGGCAGCAAGTGTCTGTGCCTCACCCACCCCAGTCCCCTCCTTGATTCTAACACAAAGGTGATTTAGTTATACAGAGGATGACACTCAAGTCTGTTGCATGCATTAGTTAAAACTAAGAACAGATAAAAGTTCAATAACTTATTTTTTAGGACTCTAAAATGGTCCCATGTCAAAACAACTGTCAAATTATCGTATGTTCCTGCCACTCACTATGTGACTTTGGGCAAGTCACTTAACATCTCTGCTATCGTCTCCTCCTCCAAAAATGAAAGGGTTGGAATGGATAATGGTGCATTCTGTTGTAGAGTTAACATTTGAGAATTTTGAGGTGCACTTTCAAAATTTCCATGGGCCCTCAGGTTGATTGAGAGAATCAGCTCCAGAATGATCGCCAGCATGAAACAATCTATGGTAAGGCCAGCTCTGTACAGCTACCACTCTACACCATCTCTCACTGCCCACTCCTGTTTTCTCACCCCACATTGCAGCACTTTCTTTCTCTTCTGTCCACCCTTCCTCAATTCCAGCACTCCTTCCTATACTAGAATCAACCAGACCAAATATTTAGATACAGATTTATCTTGGCTTACCAACATGGACTAATTTTACATCGTGCAAACACAATGGTTGCGCGAAATAAGGAAAAGTCTTCCATACTTCTGAAAATGTGTCTTTACCTCACTGAAATACCTGTAAGCTGGGCATGGTGGCTTACACCTGTAATCCCAGCACTTTGGGAGGCCGAGGTGGGAGGTTCACTTGCATCCAGAAGTTTGAGACCAGCCTGGCAACATAGTGAGACCTTGTCTCTACAAAACATCAAAAATTTGCCTGGGTGCGATGGCTCACACCTGTAATCCCAACACTTTGGGAGGCCAAGGCAAGCGGATTGCTTGAGCCCAAGAGTTCAAGACCAGCCTGGGCAAAATGAAGAAACCGTGTCTCTACAAAATATACAAAAAATTAGCTGGGCGTGGTGGTGCATGCCAGTAGTCCCAGATCACCCGAGCTGAGGAGGTGGGGGCTGCAGTGAGTTAAGATTATACCACTTCATGCCTGAATGGGCAACAGAGGGAGACCTTGTTTTGAAAAGTGAAAGGAAGAAAGAAATGCCTGTAAAAGTGACCTTAGAACTGTACTACACTGTAGAATTACAAAGGCTTTCAAGTATAATGTTTTAATATTCCTGATGAGTTTGAGAAGTAGGTTTCATTATCTCTCTATGACAGATGAGGAATCCAGCACTGAACAAAAAAACAATTTGATCAAGAACTAACAGTTAATAACTATGTATGCAAATCCAGTTCTATTAACATTGAGATCCTCCAGGGTAAGGTCACTAAATACAAATGTCTATCTTGAATTTTAATTTCCAAGACAATTTACTTCAGGCTTGTATAAATCAACTTTATGACTTTTTTCTTGAGAAATATTACCCCAAAATATCCACTTCAAGAATTGTAACTAGACTGTTGATGTTTACCTTCTTGGAGATGCCATTGGTGTTTTATGTTTTGTTTCATTTTGTCTTATCCTCTTACATGCCATGCAGAGAAGGTGTTTAAAAAGTATTTTTTAAAAGAAGGCATGGGTAGAAAGATGGATGGACAGATGGACAGATAGATGGACAATTGGGTGCACTAGTCAAACATCAGATGAATGAGTGAATTAATGAATGAATGAACTTGGAATCATTTGTCTTTTCAATTATTGATGAGAAAATATGGCAACATTTTTATTAGAGCCACTTTTTGTTTCCATTTATTTAGTAAGCACTTTTATGCATTTATTTAGTATTTGCTCACTTTAACCAAGCATTGATAACTGAAAATATAAAATTTTGAAATTTTTATATTTTATTTTGTAATATAATATATTTCAATTATATTTCAATTATCCAATTATTGGATAATTGAAAATTACTCCACTACTTATGTTCATCCAACCCCATTTGATGTACTTAAAAGCGTGAAATGACAAATTGTTAAGCTTTTTATTTATTTAAGACCCAAAAAACTTGGCAATAACCATCTCCAAAGTCTTCAGTCTGTCAGACGCAGAGTTCAAGCTACTATTGCCTATACTAGTCGACTTTTTTTCTGCAAAGAAGAAAAGTAGAAAAGCAATTTATCCTACAATTATTAAAAGTTAAATATATAGATAATGCAAACACAAGTTTTCACTGGGTGTATAAGAATTTGGGGTAAAGATGGATTGAGCCTGGAAGACTGTGGGAACCAGGAAAAACAGGCCTAACCAGCTCTTCCGGTACAAAAGAATTGAATTTGAAATGAGTCAGGTTTAACACTGTAAAATGATTCCTCAAAGTCCCTATTATAACTTTACATATCTAAAACCACATTTTATCTGCATTTAAAAACTTTATCTGTATGATGGTCAGTGTAGTCACAGTATAATAATTATATTTGAACAGCAACATTCCTGTGCCAAAAACAAAAGCCCAGTTTTGGAAGTTCTGAAGGGATACACACAAAATATAACAGTGGTTATCTGAGGAGGGTCAGGAAAGGAAATCAAGAAGACACAAACCTCACTCTGTCCTATACTTTTCAAATGTTTACCTTTATAGAATAATCACATATTGTATTTTAAGCATAAAAATATTTAACTTTTTTATGTTCAGTTTCTGGAGTATGTGATAAATAATTCTCAGCAGATTTCTACTCTGCAATATAAAGATATCTACTCATATTTATATTGATTCCTTCTAATTCAGTGTGCATGAAGATCTAAGCATTTGCGTGAATATAACGACTCCAGAGATGAGATGTGTGTTTCTAACACACTGGAAGATGTGTGTTCGAATGATCTTAGAAGCATTACTGCCAGCCAAAGTTTTCAAACACACTCACAGTTTCCTCAGACTAGAACGGAAGAAATTAAAAGTTAAAGTCATTATTATCATTATAAGATGGAAAGTTTTGCAAACATGGCTATATATGTAATATAAATTTATTACGGATTACTATTTAACTATGTTTCACCTGATCAAAGTCTACCATTGCAAAATATAAAACACACATATTGCAAATCCACAGCATTGTATAAAGCCAGACAGCATCTAGGATAATGGTTTAAATTGAAGATACTTCTTTGTTTAACACGCTTACATGTTTAACTGGATTTAGAAAAGACCTTAGAAGTACAAAGCATTCATAATAATAAACTTGGCTTTATTATTTAGATCACTACAGAGAGGAATAAAGTGTACATTTTTAGAAGAGTATCAAAATTAGACTTTATAAATATATAATTATTTTAAGACAGTAATATCAGACCATATCTCATTTATCAAATAAGACTGAGGGATGCGATATTGCACATTACTGATTTTTCAAATAGCTGAAGTTAGCCATTTCAGATGCCTTTTTAAAAATGACAATCTATTGAAAATGGATTAGATCTTTTCTCACCTAATGAGCAGAATATGGAGCAGAAATTTGCTTTGTCCTGAGGCTACGGATGTCGGTTGTTGTACTGGACGAGGCTCTCCTCCATGGCTAAGGTTTCTAAGTGCTGTTTGACTCTCTTACTGCCTCCTGTCCATTGTTCCCAGCATGTCTGCAGCCCTATTTTCATTTTTCCTTCTAGAATACCCTACCCTAGTAACACAGTAATAATTGAAAATGTCCAGTGAAAGTCTGATAAGCAAGCTTGTTTAATCTGTGAATTTAATTTTACACACAAACCTGAGTCAACAGATTCTGATGGGAAACTCCGATAACAGCTACACTCCTCTCTAGTGGTGAGAATAGTACCTTTACTCCTTAGCTCAATACGCTGCTTTTTGTTAGGTCCAGGCTGTACCTTGATCCAGGTGGATAAGATGATAGAAAAATTGGCTGACAAATCATCATAATAACAAAGTTCAGGTTACTTGCATGCCTGTGAAAGCTGTAGTCTCCAAGAAGGGCTCCCAATTAATAGCATCCCTCTTACCTACCCAGTGATGAGCCATTTGAGTAAGAAAGTAAGAATGGAAGTCTTTACTAATTAAGTTCAGCTGGAAGTGTTGAGCCCAAATGGGCCTACTAGCTAAACCACAGAATTAAGATTTGCCCACTCAATCCTAGGAGGCCCAAACCTAAGCAAGACCTCACAACGGAGGCTGGCTCCCAAGAGAAAGATAAAGAGCTGAGCTATGCATGTTTCAGGTGTCTTTCTAAATTTACCAATACCTCTTTTTTTTTTTTTTTTCCCAGTGGACAGAGAAAAGTTATTTACTAAATGAGTAAATGAATGTTTGCGTGAATGAAGAGTAAATTTGGTTCTTCCTGGTTGATGAGTGGGAAATTTAAAAAAATGTGGAACCCTTCACAAATTTGCATGTCATCCTTGCACTGGGCCATGCTAATCTTCTCTGTATCACTCCAATTTTAGTATATGTGCTGCTGCCAAAGTGAGCACTAGATTTACCAATACCTCTTAGCTGCTGTTTATATTCAATCTACCCAGCTTTCGACTCCAGATAACCAGCCTTCCCTTACTTCTTCATCTCGTCCTCCTTTAATTACCTCAGGTGCCAGGATGGAGCTAACCATACTCATTTCAAGGCCCGGTATCATCAAGGTCTGTACCCAGCTCATTTTTGTTTATTTACGTATATAATATTTATCTTCCAACCCTGCTCTCTTTCCAGCTACAGGCAACAGTCGTAATGTGGTTTATATGCTTTCTTGAATTTGTGTGAAACCTTGTAAAAAAAAAAAAAAAGTATTGTTGTTTGTGTATATTAAACCCTTATATGAAATTACATATAATGGTTCCAATCTGCATCTTACTTTTCTTACTCTATACTATGTTTTAAAGATCTGTCTGTGCTGTTACTTGTACGTCTAGTTCATTGCTTCTAAATGTGATATTGTGCTCCATGGTGTGCATCACCAAGTTTTATTTGCTTATTCCAAGTGATGGACATCCTAACTCCTCTACTTCCTCATTCATGTCCTGTTATGATCGTGGCAGGGGAGTAGAGCTATGGGTACCTAATGTGGCTGAAGACAGCAAAATCACTGTCCATAAACTATACTAGCCTACATTCCCTCCAGCAGTGCAGAAGGTTGCCTGTGACCCCACACCACCACCAAATGTTGTATTATCCAACTATTTTTGCCATTCTCGTCAGTGTAAATTGGTGTCTCATTGCATTGAAAATTCACATTTCTCTTATTACTAAGACATTTTGACAACTCTTTATACACTCGTTAGGCATTTGGATTTCTGTGAATGATTGTCATATTTATTTTGCTCATTTTAAGTAACATTTTCTGTATTTTTCTGAGGAATTTGTAGATACAAACATGTTGCAAACATTGGTCCCTTGTGTGTTTAGGAGTTACAAATATCTTCTCCCAATCTTTCCATCCTTCTATAAATTTTGTCCATTGCATCCTTTGCAAAATAGAAAACTTTAATTATTTTGCAAGAAAATTCTGAAATGATATTGCCTTATGGTTGCATTTTTGTTCTGATACGAAAATGAGCCTATATTTCTTCCTATGACAGCTTAGGATAGGCTATTCAAGTTTATTTTTGCCCCTCACAATCAAGTTACATGATGAGTTTATCTATGAATTCATTAATAAAAGATTCATATAACCTACATATCTACATACAAATAATACCTTTTTGCTTTTGGTGAAAAAAAGGTTGGTTGGTTTTAGTATTAAGGTTGTGTGGGCAAACATACTTGGTAACTGTACAGAATAGGAGTTGAACAAGAATCTCCTCCCCTAACTTCTTCAGTGGATATGAACCAAATTTCTCTAAGCAGTAGATTAATAAATGGGAGGAGACCTGTCCAGAAACCCATAAATCAAGCCAAGCCTCAATCAGGCCTGAGCCCAAATCTCAAGGGCACAGACTCAAACTAATTTAATATCTTTAGATTGACATGGAAATTGCAAGGCCTTTCATTGTAGTCTTGCCTTGTGGTCCTCCAGCATAGTGTATATCATCAACAACCTTTAAAAAAATTTTTTAACTTTTAAATTTGAGATAATTTTAGATTCACATGCAGTTGTGAGAAATTATGTAGAGAGATCTAGTGGACACTCTTTACCCAATTTGTCCTACTGGTACCATCAACAAACAATTGTGCAGTATCACTACCAGGATATTGATGTTGATATAGTCAAGACACAACCATTTCCATCACCACTAGGATCCCTCATGTTGCCCTCTTACAGCCATACCACTTCCTCACTGCTGCCCCCTACCCCTTACCACCTGGCAACCACCAATGTACTCTCCAGTTCTACAACTCTGTCATTTCAAAAGTGTTATATAAACAAAAACATATAGCATATGACGTTTCGTTATTGGCCTTTTTCACTCAGTACAAAATGGAATGAATCTGGCAATTTACTCAAGCTGATGTGTATATCAATAGATTCTTGCCTTTTTTGCTGAGCAGTATTCCATGATATGCATGTGGCACTGTTTAACCACTCATTCATTCATTGAAAGACATCTGAATTGTTTCCAGAATTTGGATATTATGAATAAAGCTGCTATAAACATTTGTGTACAGGTTTTTATGTCAATATAAGTATTCCTTTCTCTGTGATAAATGCTCATGAGTGTGATTGCTGGTTTGTTTAGAGCTGTATGTTTAGTATTTTAAGAAACTGCCAAATTATTTTCCAGAGTGGCTGTACCATTTTATAATCCTACCAGGAATGAATGAGTGATCAGTTTCTCTATGTCTTCACCAGTATTTGGTGTTGTCACCATTTTATTTTAGCCATTATGATAAGTATTACTGATAATGTATAGTCTTAACTTGCACTTCCCTAAGCGATAATGATGTTCAGCATCTTTACATGTGCTTGTTTACCATCCATATATCCTCTTATGTCATATGTTTCTTCATGTCTTCTTCCCATTTTCTAATGGGATTGCTCGAGTTTTTTACTGTTGAATATTGAGAGTTCTTTATATGCTCAAGATAGCAGTCCTTTGTCAGACATGTGGTTGGAAAATAGTTTTCCACTCTGTAACATGGTTTTTTATCCTCTTAGGCTTTTTTTTTTTTTTTTTTTTTTCAGAGCAAATTTTTATGCAGTTCCATTTATCAATTTTTCCTTTTATGGATTGTGCATTTTAAGTGCCAAGTTTAGGAATTTCTATCTAGCCCTACACACTGAAGATTTTCTCCCATGTTTTTTCTAAAATTTCATAGTTTTAACACTTAAGATATAATCCAGGTTGAGTTAATTTTTGGATAAATTGTGTTTGTTAAGGTTTTTGTTTGTTTTTGTTTTTATTTTGCCTGTGGATGTCCAGCTGCTTCAGCACCACTTGTTGAAAAGCCTCTCTTCCCTCTATTGAAATTCTTTTGCACTTCTTTCACAAATAAATTGGGCATATTTGTGTACGTCTATTTCTGGGTTATTTGTTTTGCTCCATTAGTCTATGTGTCTATCTTTCTACCAGTGCTATATTATGTAGCTACATATTAAGACTTGATATGGGAAAGATACTATTCCTCTCACTTTACTGGTCTTTTTCATAATTGTTTTAGCTATTCTGGTTCCTTTGCCTTTCCATATATATTTTAAAATAATTTTATCTGTGTCTACAAAAAATATTTTTTGAGATTTTGATAGGAATTGCATTAAACCTATATAGCAATTTAGGCAAAGTGTACATATTCAATATGTGGAGACTTCCAGTTCATCAACACAGTATGATTCTCCACTTAAATTCAATCTTTTTTGGTTTCTTCCATTTGGTTTATTTCATCAGCTTTCTGTAGTCATCAGCATGCAAGTCTTGTACACATTTTCGTAGATTCACACCTAAATATTTTATATTTTTCACAGTTGAAAATGGTTTTATAGCTTCACTCTTGACATCTACCATTTACTGCTAGCATACAGAAATATTATTTTTGAATGCTTACATTATATTCGTCAAATTTCTTGAGCTCACTTATGTGGCCTAGAAAATTTCTGGTCGGTTCCTTGGAATTTTCTACATAATCAATTATGTCATCTTCAAATAGAGACAGTCTTATTTTTTATTTATTCCTTTTCATATGCCTTTTATTTTTATTATTATTTTTATTTTGCTTGTTTTGGTTATTTTTTTTTTCTTGTCTGCTTTGTTTTTGTTTTTGCCTTACTGAACTGGCTAGAACTTCCAGCACTCTGTTGAATAAGAATGGTAAGAGGAGAAAACATCCTTACCTTGTACCCAATCTTAGGGAAAAAAGCATCATGCTTTCACCATTAGGTATAATGTTAGCTGCAGATTTTTTTGTGGATTTTTTAATCAAGTTGAGAATGTTCCCCTTTATATCTATTTTTCTGAAAGTTTTTTTCATTAGTGGCTGCTGAATTTTGTCAAATGTCTGTCCTGCATCAATTAATATGACCATGTAAATTTTTTCTTAAGTCTGCTGTTATGGTGAATTACATTGATTAATTTTCAAATATTGAACCAGCCTTGCATCCCTGGAATAAACATAGTTATGGTGTACATTTTTTATATATTGCTGAATTCTATTTGCTAGTATTTTGTTAAGGATTTTTGTATATATAGTCATGAGAAATATTGGCCTGAAAGTTGTTTGTTCTGTTTTGTTTTGTATTGTCTGTTTTAGTATGAGAGTAAAATTAGCTTTATAAAATCTCTAAAGGTTGTGTATAATTGATGTTACTTCTTCCTTAAATTCTCCAGTGAAATCTTCTGGGCCTACTGACTTCTTTTTGAAAGCTTTAAAATTATAAGTTCAATTTTCTTAATAGCTAAAAGGCTATTTAACTTATCTGTTTCACATTGGGTAAAATGTAGTAATTCTTGTTTTCCAAGGAAGGGATTCACTACATCTAAGTTGTCAAATTTATGTGTGTAGAGTTGTTTATAGTAATGGATTTCATCATTTTCCTGTTGATGTCTGCAAAATCTGTAATGATATCCCTTGTTCTATATACTGATACTGGTAATCTGTATATTCTCTCTATTCTTTCTCTCAGTCTTGCTGAAGGTTTGTCAATTTTGTCGATCTTCTCAAAGATCCAAATCTATTTTACCTATTTTTTCTATTGTTTTTCTGTTTTTAATTTTTTTTTTCTTTTTGGGGGGATGGAGTCTTGCTTTTGTCACCCAGGCTGGAGTGCAGTGGTGTGATCTCGGCTCACTGCAACCTCTGCCTCCTGGGTTCAAGGGATTCCCCTGCCTCAGCCTCCTGAGTAACTGGGATTACAGGCACCCACTACCACACCCACCTAATTTTTATACTTTTAGTAAAGACAAGGTTTTGCCATTTTAGCCAGACTGGTCTCGAACTCCTGACCTCAGGTGATCTGCCTGCCTTGGCCTCCCAAAGTGCTGGGATTACAGGCATGAGCCACTGCACCTGGCCTTCTGTTTTTAATTTCATTGACTTCTGTTCCTATCTT